TTGCTGAACCCAAATTATGCGATACACTTAAGCAGGAGCTATTGCTGCAAAGCAGTTTATCATAAAGTGATTCTGATACTGCGAAGTACTGAGTGGAGTTTCTTGAATCAGCTTGTGCATTTAGGTTGCGTTGAACTTAATGCAAAATGCAATGGATAAATGAATGAACGAATGATATTACATTGAAAATACGAATCATATTCCACTACTGAAAAATCAGTCTTCTGGAAGAGTTCCAGGATGACTACCTGTCAGTTGACAGGATTCAGTTAAGTCAACTAATCAAGATCAATGCATGAAACGCATCCGAAGTTGTGTCTCGCCTGAGCTTTAGTGTATTTCATACACTCCTACATCTGGCTATAATCTTCTGCTCGGATAGACCAAAGCTGATTAAAAGCAAAACTCGGAAGGGAATATTTGCATTTCGTCGAGTGGATGGAAATCTGATTGAAAATTGAAATTTGTTTTGAAATGGATTGAGATGAATGTATTTTATAAATCGGCATAATAAGCTCAATAATAATGTTGTCGTTATGATTATGAGAGACAGGCGTTCAACTGAAATCACAATAGACCATCGATTACTTAAACAAATACAGACATGAATGGTTCGAAAATGTGGAATCGTTTGAACTATCTTCCAGTCAGTCATTTTATGTGTGTATATCCAGATGATTCAGTTGGTGTTGGGGTTCATTATCAACACGGGCATAAAATTCCATACTACCTACTCGGCAAGTATGCAAACAATTATATGTTTGAAGATTCGAATAAAAATTATAATTAAAGAGCCTATGAGTTTAACATTTAAATTGTTTTATCAGAATCGCATCCGTGTGCCAGCATATTTCATGCATAAGGATGGTAAAATGACTCGAGCAAAGCGTTCAATGGGATTATAGCACTGTTCCGTGCCACTGCTGTTCCAGTCACGTACACATGTGTGACCGTAACCGCCTGTCGCAAAAGGCTAAAAATAGGATTCTATGTGAATGATCAAACTGGATATGGGGAAGAATAGCTAAGAATCATGCAAATATTTACGGTAACAGAATGATGCTGTAGGTACATTCAGCTTGCACAAACTCTATCAATTCAATGCTAAATGCACAACACATTTCAAAACTTAAACAAAGCAGAATATCCAAAATACGGTTATCCCTTCTGTTGTTCATAACCAGCTTGTTTCTTTGCAGTATATACCGTCAGCAGACAATATTCTATCATCAAACAAGTGAAAATAAATTGAATAGAAATTTCAGCGATAAATTTGCATCGTGTTTACAGTCGGTGCGCAGATAAGTTCATCACAATTAAATTTGATGCAAACGAACTTGAATTGAATTGAAAAGTCAGGTTTGCTCAACTGTCGGTACCATGGAAAATATTTGTTTATGGTTCTCCTGAAATGCCTACTTAAGGGGTACCACATTTCAGTAATATTCAGTTAGTTATCTTCAGCTGCTCGCCCTCTCCTGCTGCAGCTAAATTGTTGATTCTAGACTTTAGTGCCAAGGTTCAAGCCTTTGACTTATTTTTTACAAATTTAGGGGCCAACGTTAGCTCCTGCCGTTTCAAGTAAACTGTCAAACTTAGCTGAGGTTTCGTGATGCTTTAGGGATATGGATTTCATGTTATAGATTTGACGAATATTATCTCTCATTAAAAAGATGAAACGGGTTAGATTGGGGAGTAGGAAGGTAAATGTATACGGATAAAGTTGCATGTCTCCTTGGTCCGGATCCGAGAGAGATAAATGAGGATAGAAGAGTTCGTTGAGTAGGGGAGGTCCGTTTGATTCTGCCGGCATCAGCTATCGGGTGTCACTGATGTAGTACCCAGGTGACATGCGGGAAATGGCGGATTTTAGTGGGAGTGAGCTGTGGATTTCGTCAGTCATAATGGTGCAGGTTCATCATTCACATGCTTCCTTCCATCCACGATAAGATTTCAATCTCTTGTTTCAGGCAAAATGCGTTGCTCTAAAACCCAAATGTTCACGTTTCTTGTTCTGTCGGTCGTTCTGATTGGTGTCCTGACCAATGCTGAAGGTTCGTTTTGAATTTCGGTAGAATCGAACGCAAAGAAGGAATTCTCAAAATGTTTCGTTGATCATCTCACTATCATTATCAGTTCCACACGCGAATGCAATTATTCAATGCATCTTATTTTGTTATAGCTTCAGTGAGCGATATAATCAGCACGTTTCAGAGTGCGAAGACCTAAACAAAGATTGCGCAGACAGAAAGTATCTTTGTACGGACTATAAGGATTATGCGGCGAAGAACTGCAGAAAATCGTGCGATTTATGTGAAGGTGGCGGCGGCGGTGGCGGTGGCGGTAAGTGTTTTGGGGGTGTGATCACCATTGCTTAAAATTGAATGATCAAACTGATATGTGTTCGAAAATGATTTCCTCGCAACATTTGGTCATTCTTCAAATTCGATTAGGCAATTTTGTTGTGATCGCTCATGAATTGTAGTTTGTATCTGTAGTTAATGTGGTCACTTGTTATACTTTAATATATTGGCTTATTTTCTGCAGGTGATGAAGATGACCTCGATGATCTTAAATGAGGTAAGTTGGCTCTTTATATGCTATTCAAACGCGATTCATTCAAATAATCATATCAAGCTGTGCTAACTTTACTTGTGATGTTACTTAAGCGTCATGTCACTTTATAATCACATTTCGTTATTTTATCGAATGAATGATTCTCATTAACCCGATCGATTTCAAATGACTTGATTTTGCAGACAAATGAGCACTCCAACTTGATCGGATGAGTTCCACCTGGAGCATGCAAATTTTCACGTTATCTTCAATACGTTCTGATATTTTCGATAATATTTGAGTATCATTGTGATAACGCTCTCCACTTTTCATTGTTCGTTCAACTTGTTTGAACTTTTCTGCATTGTTATCTCTATATTAAGTCTAATAAATGCTAATCTCGGTTTATTTCTCAAATGCAGTCGGCTTGTTGGTCACATCACCATAACACGCTACGTGAATGCAGCGGTATCATATATCTCTGTACAGATTGCATAGGAATTTCTGTAGATGACAAGGACGGAAGATGATCATATCGAGCGCGGTCTTCACAGAATCTGAATAATCTGATGAATTTAATGATTTGACAAAAATATCCCATACACTCGGGGATGACTGGTGAGGATCGTTGCTCAATGATTCCGATGAACGTTAGAGGCCGTTGAAAACCCAAATAATTCTCGGTGTAATGGGTAACATTTCTGTGCGCGGATGTTGGTCCCCCCAAAGAGAACGCAGTTGCAAACATGTAAAATTGCAAGAAGCAGCTCATTTTGACCAACTGATCGGGTCATAGAATACAACAACAGCGCATATAATCAAGATCAACTTATGAATCGCAACCGAATTTATGTCTCGCCTGAGTTCTAAGCCAATACACTCGAACACAAGCACAGATCTAGACTCTGTTCATGCATAATCTTAGGCTTAGGTGGACGAGAATAAAACTCATCCGAGTGCATCGACAACATTTGGTTTATTCCGAAGGCTGGTACACCCGGCTCTAATTTGGCCCTACAATAGACAG